TGTTCTTTTCTAAGAAGTAACTTTTGGCTTCATTTTTTCCTCTTTTAACATTTTTGATCTCTACTCTTCAGTATTTCCTTGATTTTGCTTCCTTTTTAAAATTTTCTCTTCTTATTCTAGGTTCTTAAAGTAGAAGATTAGATTATGGACTTGAAATTTTTCTTCTTTTCTAATATAAACCTTGTAATCCTACAAATTATCCTTAAGCACTACTTAAACTGCATCCCACACATTTTGGTATGTTGTATTTTTATTTTTGTTCAGTTTAAAATATTTTCTAATAGTCATCTGTTTTGACCCATGAATTATTTGGACACACAGTTGATCCTTGAACAGCATGGGTTTGAATTGTGTAGGTCTACATATACGTAGATTATTTTCAATAAATGCAGTATAGTACTTTAAATGTTTTCCTTATGACTTTCTTAATAACATTTTCTTTTATCTAGCTTACTTTATTGTAAGAATATAGTATATAATACATATAACATACAAAATATGTGTTAATTCACTATTGATATTATTGCTAAGGCTTCCAGTCAATAGCAAACTATTAGTAGTCAAGTTTTTGGGAAGCCAAAGTTATGCATGGATTTTGAACTGTGTGGATGGTTGGCATGCCTAATCCTACATTGTTCAAGGGTCAGCTGTATATTCCTTAAATTCTATGTGTTTGAATATTATCCTGTTATTTTTCTTTTGTTGGTTTCTAGTTTAATTCTATGGTTAGGGAATATATGTTCATTTCTTTTAAATTCATTAAGGTTTGATTTATGGTACATGATATAGCTGATCTTGGTTAATGTCCTATATGTACTTGAAAGGAATATGTTATTATTTACTTTTGGAGTCCTCCTATAATTCTTTTATGCATTCTGCCCAGGTTTATAGCTGCATTCGTTTAGAGAAACAGAGTGGATTATGCTTACTTTATTTCACTCAGAATTAGAGTTTTCCATTCACTTTGCCGACACTTTTGATTACTGACAAATATACATTTCTAAAGTGTTCTTTACGAGGGTCTATTTATGGTTAAAAAACTATAAGCTATATAAAAGATTGTTGATGAAAATAACTTTGATTTCTTAATAAATGCCATCTCTCCCTTTCTGTAAAATGAGATAATTCATAATTTGTCCTATGTCCTTTAAAGGCTTGTTTGTCATATTTTAGGTGAGCATGCATGCACAATCAGCTCAAACTGTATTAGTAAGTTAGAGAAGTAAGTCAGATACAGTTACTCACTTTATCATAAGTTAGGGTCTAGATGGATCAGGGCTTAAGGAGGTGAATGGCTGTAGGGCTGATCTGGCATGGAGGTGACCATTTAGGGGTTGTGGCTTTGTGTTGAAGGCCATGTTTTCAGAGCCTGGGTCATAGCAAAGGAAATCTGCCAACTAGGAATGGAGCAGGTAAGAACAGCTTTGTGGTTATAGGAGGCTTATCCAGCTTGGAGCAAGACCTTACAAAATTCAGGGGACAAAATTCAGGCTTCTGGAAAAAGAGTGTTGAAAAGTACTAGGTTGAAGGTTGAAGCCCCAACAAGATTGGTGGGCTTCAGAGAGTACCTGGGATGTGGGTATGGACAAGATGAGGAATCAGGAAACTGAGGGAGAAATCCAGCCCTGTGGCCTGCTGAAATGCCACTGTGCAGAAGGAAGGCAGATGTGACTCACAGATAATAACCAGCTTTGGGGCAGCAGACCTAGTTTCAGCCTGTCACCTGCTGGACCGGTGAGAGAATCATTGGTCAGAGCTGACTCATAGGGAAGGAGATCCTGAAGCTTATTAAACCTGGAGAGTGCAGACAACAGAATGATTCATATGCAGGGGTCGATGTTAAAGTGGTGACCACACATTAGCACCATCATTAATATTGTTATGGATTACATGGAAATGGGTGTATGTTTAAAACTCTTCCAGGTAGAGTAGACATCTGTGTTGACATGCCAGGAAACAATGGAATTAAATATGAGAGAAGTACTAATACCTAAGAGGAAGTGTATGAAAATGATTATACAGTAGGTAAAATGGGTTGTGCAGAAAAGACTGACTGGGAATTTATTTTTGTAAGTTGAGATCATCTGAAGCAAGGACAGAGTCTGTTAAACACCATGGCAATATTCTAAAGCTGGGTTGTAATTCAGACCATGAAAAGCCATGTGTTATTAGGCAGGTATTCCTTTGCTTTCTGACAGGTTGTCTATCTCTGAAAGTATCCAGCACCCTCTCTCCTCAAGAAGAAAGAACCAAAAATGTGTTACTAGTCACCATAATAAAATTCCGAGGGAGAATGCAAGATGATGTTAAATGAACCGGCCAACCTCTTCCCACTAACCTTGGAACCTTTAGTCTGTCAAAACCAGCCTGCACAATCACATTTCCTTTTCAGTCTCCTTTATTCTAATTCATCACAGGACAAGACTGACCCTGGATATATGTTTGCACACAGGTTATCTTTAGATTGGCTTTACCTTGATGACCTGACTCCTTGCTGCCTGTGGCATAATCCAGTTACTCAGGGGAATATCAATTAAGGCTCTCGATCACTCTAATTAGAATGTCTTCTAAGTGTTGTCCTAGGAATTCAGCAGCTTATAAACAGGCAAATTGGGAAAATCTAGAGGTGTGAGTTTTGCTTTTTTTTTTTTTTTTAATAGCCAAAAGCAATTTGGGAGGTAGAGTGCTTTAGCATAGCTGGGTATTGGGGCTGAAGTTCTTGTGCCCTGAATCTGCAATGAAATGTCTAGTTGTTCTCCACTGACAATGATTAATGCAGAATTATTAATTACTTTTATTAATGACTTGGATGAGGACATGGGTGGCATGCTTATCTAGTTTATAGATGACACAAAGCTAGGAGTTAAACAAGTATTGTGATGACAAGCTCAGGAGACAAAATGATTTCAAGACAGAATTATAGTGGCAATCCATCCGATACATGCCAGAAGAATGATCTCCAGAAGGCACAGTTTGATGATCACATCAGTCTTCTAATCAGAAACCGTCAGTGGGTCCCTATTTTCCGCTTAAATTAAATTCCAAGTCCTTTGCTATTCAAGGCCTTGTCCTATTCTGATCCTAATACTCCCTGCTTTCCAACAAAGTCTCCTATAGTTCTTTTACTAATACCTTGTGCTTGAGCCAAGCTGAATTATTTACAGACTATTTCCTTTTTTATGTTCCATGCTTTGCCTATCTTTGAACATTATTCCCCCATTGAGTTTCTTTTCCCCACTTTCCTTCTGCTTCAATTCAGTTCTTGCTCACTCAAAAGCTACCTTAGTCTTCTTAGTCTTCTTTGATTGCCATGGTTGAAGCAATCTCTTTCTTTTCTAGTCTTCAGTAAACCTTATCTGTTCCGCTGTGTTTTTCAGTGTTTGCTTTTTATTGTCATTATTTTGGTTCTCATTTTAAGTCTCTGCTAGACCTGCTTAGTGCTATAGCTTCTGCCTGAGAAATCTTTGCATATCTTATATGCAGAGAGGCATGCATCTTGTTCATAGTTGATGATGTTGAAGTGCTTTATCTCCTCTACTGGGAGAATGGCCTTCAGAGGAGGCCCTACCTCTTGCTCACCAGAGGGCCCTGCAATTATATCATAGAGACTTGTAAACAGTGCGCAATGCAATGTTTTATTAAAATAAATGAATGACTGATAGAAGAGTTCCTTAAGTTAACAGTGTAAGAATTGGAAAGAGAATGGTGGGGGTAAAAAGGAAATATTTGATCTCAGAGGCAAAATGGTTGTTTAGGGTATAATAAACTCATTTGTAACTTTTGAACAGTCATGCTAAAGAAGGAAGCCCAATAAGAACTAGAGATTTGTGGTAATATGTGGTCAAGAGAGGTGACAGGTGTCTGAAACTTGCATTGTCCTTAAAAGTGGCCCATACACCCTGAATTGCTTAGGCAGTACCAGTTTATACCTTTTGTCGCAGTGCCATCGCGTTTACAGACATCTCATTTTAAATGCTGTTATATGGCCACCCTATTTATGAAATACCTCTTTGACCTTTTTAGACTGGTAGGTCCCTGTGGTTGTGAAACTGGTGCCATAGGCTAAAGTTGGCCAGATGTGCATATGAATTCCATCTCTGTCACTTATTAGAAACATGATACGGACAAGTACCAAGGCCTCCGTAAGCACCCTTATGTGGCTGCTGTGTTCAAAATAGTGACAGTCTTGAATATGGAATTTTTCAGTAATATCCAGGTTTCAGTATTTATAACCCTATCAAGATTTTATCAGGGGGAAGATATGTCTAGGGTAGTAGGGAAATAAATATTTCGCGGAGTCGTTAAATTTCTAGGCCTTCTGTGTTAGAGATCATAGAACCAAATGTAAGGGTACAGTTCGTGCTAGTTGGCTGTTTTCAACTGGTTACCTATAGAAAGGCTAAAGGTCACAGAAATTGGACTCCAGCCCCATCATTTGTCTCTTTCAGGGAGAAGCAGAGAGCAGGCACAGCAGAGAATGGGGCTTAGATATTTCCTTTCACTATAAATTCAGAGTGTGGTGGACTACAGACCAAGTCTGTATCCAGGAATTTAAGCTTTCTATTCATCACTAAGAAGGAGAAGTGTCTGGATCATAAAATATTTCCAATTGGGAATAGACCACAAGAATGCTAAGGAGAGGAAGAAAATCAAATTTATCTGCCAGAAATGTGACTCCTGGTGAAAAAAATCAAGAGGAATTTGTAGTTGAATGATTAAGAGATAGTTCTAGAGCTAGACTGCTGGAGCTTGATCATTAATCTACTACTTTGTAGGCAAAGGATATTGGTTATATTATTTAAACTTGTCTCAGTTTCCTTATCTGTAATATGCTTTTTAAAAAAACGATCTTATTGTTTGGGTCCCGCAATTAAATTTGTTAATATTATAAACATGTCAGAACAGTTCCTTGTCTAAGTCAGTTTGCATATGCAGTAATTATTACTTAAACTCTTGAGAGTGATAAGTACTCTCCCTTAACTTTGTATTTATGTTGACAGGATGGGACTTCTGTGGTGTGTGATGAGTCTCTCCTTCTATGGGATCCTGCAGAGTGATGCCTCAGGTAAGTGAATAGCTTTTGACAACCTGTTAAAATACAAACTATCTATAGGGTAATGTGCCAACTCTTTCTGAAAAAAAAATGAGTTAAGACTACACAATATTTATATCCATCGTCTTCTGTGATATCACAGAATCATAGATGTGATGGAATCATAGAATTTTGATGATGATACCTCTAGTCTTCAGGGGACACAATGTACTTGGGGCAGTGGTCGTCATTTATAAATACAGGGATTTTCCATCGCCCTCACATCTAAGCCAACTAGAATCCTGCTTCTCTCCCTTTGCCTTAGGTCTTATGAGAAAAGAAATGACAGCGATGGTAGCATGACTTTGTTTTCCAAACTTCAGCCAGTGGTGAAGGAGGCATTAAGGCGAACAGTCCATTAAGATCTTTTAAGAACAAATGAGAAATGATGTTTCTATCATACTGCTTCTCTCTAGGGAAAAAAAGGACCTATCATTAGGCTCATTTTTTTTCCTTTGGATACTGCTTCTTAAGAGAATCTAGACAAAGCTTGTTTGAGTTTGAGTAACTGAACTTGGTCGTCATGGATCTGGATCCTATGAAATCAACAAAAGGGATTTGAAAGGTCATCTTTTCAGGGCTCCTCTCATCTCTAGAATTACTGCTCAGAACCAGAGTGGTAACTCAAACTAGTGATCATCTCATTAGTAGTCCACATGTGTTTGGACTGACCAAGTTCTAAGAAAGTTTTTAGTATATATAATTGAAATGTAATTCTGTCATTTCTACATTTCTGTGGTTCAACTGCTTGATTTGACTAGAATGTGCCCAATCCAGTGGTTCTCTAATTTTAATTCAGGGAACCTAGATCTTCATTTGAAAAAGCTTCATGTATAATTCCCCTGAAGACCCTGGTTAATAGTTTGAATATCATTACTTTAATTCCTCTTCTGTGTGAGAGGTCTTTGGAGATGTTAAAATAACAATCATAGAACCATGACAGTGTTTTCTGGTATCTGCCTTCAATTGTTCTTCGCGTGGCATGGATTTGAGCCTTTCTCATCCCGATGATCTTTTCTAGGGTATGTTTTCTATACCACTTGAAGCATTTTATTGGAAACTGAAAATAGCACTAAAGGAAGGGTATAACTAGGACAGAGTAGTACAGCTCAAAGCCATGAGAAGTAGAGATAACGTCCAACCTTGTTGGCCCTTTTCACAAGGAAAGCATCTCATAATCTGGGCTGGTTTTCAGATGCACTAATACACAGATCTACCGGCTATTTGGACCAGCATCTGTCCTGCTTGATTGAGTGTCCCATTTGAGGCTGTGATGTCCTGATTTTTAAATATGTTAAATATAACCCCTGATTATTATCAGTTCTTATTTGATTCAGTTCTGTGCTTGAATGTTATCTGCTTACAGAGTCCTTACTTCACCACCTTAATTTAAAAAGCCCTCGCAATCACATGTCTCTGTATCCACCTGTAGTTTCCTTCATGACATTCATCATTTCTTGACATTATATTAGCTTTCCCTTGTCTCCTCCCTTTCTCCTTCTTTCTCCTCTTATACCTCCCTGTCCTCTTTTCCCTTCTTTCTTTCTCTTTCTCTTTTCCTCCTTCCCTTTCTCCTTCCCTATTTCTCTGCTTGTAAACTATCCAAGGACATGGACCTGTCCTCTTTGTTACCCAAATACTTGGAATAATGATTGGCACATAGGCACACAGTAGGTTAGTAGGTACACACACGTGCTCTCCCTCTCTCTCTCTCTCACTCTCTCTCTATGTATGTATCTATATACATATATATATATACACATATGCCTATATATATATGTTATATATGGGTAGAAAAAAAGTCCCTTCACTTCCCTTTTTGCCAAAATCGGCCAATTTTATAATGGCACTCATTTGGATTCATACCAGTAATTCATCAATGTAGTTTTATGTCCTGCCTTCCCTTGAAGGAAAAGGAAGAGGTGATCATGTTACTCTTGTTGAGAGATAGGGCAATCCCAGAAGTTTGTGGGTGCTGGTGTCTCCCCAGCACTCCTGGAAGTGTTCTTTTCTGAATGACCTTTACTGTAATCTGCCCAAGGAGGACCCCTACCCCCACCCTAAATGCTATTGGAAAGTGAGCTTTCTACCCAGGAACTGTGACTCATAATTCTGCCAGGGAGGCTGACTTCTTGAATAAGATAAGTTCTCATACCAGCCCCATTGAGTCACCATGGGAGCAGGAAACATGTTGTAATCCCCTCAGCCCATCTGGCACATACTCATTTGCCTTCCTTATGAAAAGGTATATTGTGTCTGTGTCAGTGATGCACTTCCTAGTTGGAGGAAGAAGAACAAAAAGGAAGTGTTGTTGACAAAAATAAAAGGGATGGCTAATCTGGGCTACTAGGGGACAAAAGGGACCATTGCACATTTTGAGGGAATCAGTGAACCTCTCAAGCATCAAGGTATCACTTCTTAGAAAAATGTAGATGCTGGCAGACGTTGGTCTTTCATGAGATTCTGTGTTCCAGGTACCCATTTAATGGAATCACAGATCAGTGTGACAAACAAGGGAGAAATAGGCAGAAAACCCTAAAGCAATGTACATGCATATGATATTAATAGGAGTTTTGTCTGGTTGTTCTGGGCCTTTCTACATGTACCCTTCTCTTAAGGGAAGTCCCACATTTAAAAAAGAAGCCATATAAATATAAGAGCTTTAGTTCCATGAAGTTTTTTTTTTTAAATTTTATTTTGAGAGAGAAAGAACTGTGCATGAGTGGGGGAGTGAGCTGGAGGGAAGGGATAGAGGGAGAGGGAGAGAATCTCAAGCAGACTCCCCACTGAGTGCAGACCCCAATGCAAAGCCCAGTCTCATGACCCTGAGATCATGACCTGAGACAAAATCAAGAGTCAGACACTCAACCAACTAAGCCACCCAGGCACCCCCCCCAACCCCCGCCATGCAGTATATTTTAAGTGGAGTGAACTGGACCTCAAGACAGAATTCTGACTTCAGAACACAAGTCTTTCTTGTAGCACTACTGTGGTTTCCTTATTTGTTCAAGAAAGTGGGAGCAACACTTTCATCTCAGATGGCCATAAAAGCAGATACTTAAATACAAGCATTTACTTTTCGGGAATTAAAACGGTAGTTATAATGGTAATAATAAAGCTTCCTTCCCCGAGAAAGCACTTTGCATTTTACATTTTCAATGTCATTTGACTCTCACACCCAAACTATGGAGTGGCCAGGCCCTTGTAATCCCATTTTTGGAAAAAGAAAATTAAGATCAAGTGTTTAAGTGAATTACCCAAAGTCACACAGCTAATATGTAACATAGCTGTGACTTCAGCTAGTTCTTCCATTCTCAAGATTCATGCTATTTTAACAAAATATACTCTCCTTGGACTCAAGTAAGACAGATCCAATTAAAAAAAAAAAAAGGTCCAAGGGGTCATGGGTTTTGCTAACTGCCAAAGAAACATTTAGTAATAGATTTCTGGTTTTTTTGTTTTGTTTTGTTTTTGTTTTTTTTAGATAAGAGATATCTTTCTTCCTGACATCCCCTGCCCCGTTAGGTGTTTTTTTCAGGAGGAAAATCAATGTAATGTGAACTCAAAATTCAATATTCTCATTTTTACATGTTATGGTATTGAACATTTCCAATATTAAACTCAAAGAAATTCTGCTTTGCAAGATTCTGAAAGCAAACTTAACTTGTCACACATTTCTCCTTTGGTATGTTCCATTGGCAGCATGTTAGGAAGTTGAACTGTTAAAACTGCCTTTAGGGTAGAAATAAATATTTGCAACTTGTGGTTCCAAGTTGGGGAGAGGGTGAGAATGGTACCACATATAATGTGGTGAATTTACGAAAATATCACCATATCAAAATTATTTGTCAGAGAGACCACGTTAAGAGGAACAATGTGTTTTCTTCCCCAAGAGTGCATGCACACGCGCGCGCGCGCACACACACACACACACACACACACACAGATCTTTGAATATAGTCTTTTATTTCAAAGTCAACAAACAGTTGACAATGGGCCAGGTGCAGGGCTAGATTTCACACACATTATCATTAATGTCACAGAAGACACTGGGGGCTGGGGTTTGGGTGGGGGTAGAGATTCTTACACACATTTTATAGTTCAGGAAAAGAAGAGCCTGGGGGTGACCTAAGTTAACAGTGCTCATGGTGGCTTGTCTGATAGAGCTAGGATTTGAAGACTGCCTCAACTCCAAAAGCAGAGCTCTTTCTTTACAACTACATTGCCTTCTTATGACTTTGTTCTGCTACTAGTAAAATCCCATGATTTCATTTCCATTAATTTTGAAGAATTTTCAGAGGGTAGAAATAATCTTCTGGCTTATTGAAGCTGAATAACACTATAGTAACGAACTAACTAACTAACTAACTAACTAAATAAATAAATAAATAAATAAATAAAAACGAACAGTGGCTTACCAAGAATTGAGAGACACTGCTGTAAGTTTTGACTGTTTCACTTTGTGAATGTTTAATGACATTAAAGAAATCATTTAATCACTCCTTGCTCACTGTGACCTTACCTATCAATCCAACCAACCAGCCAACCAACAATAACAAAGCTTTGGCCAATTTTACCTTCTTTATTTTTTATTAAAGAACATTATGGTCATTATCATATGTCATGGATGCACATAGCATCATACACCCTTCCTGTGATTTAAATAAGCATTTTCTAATGGCAAGTGTTTAAAGATCTTTCATTTAAAGATCACGCATTTGACAACTTTATATTACAGAATCCAGGGTAAATAAAGGAAGGCTCTTATGTCAATGTCTTCCAGTTGTCTTCCAATGTCTGACAGAAAGATGAGAAAATAAATACCAAACAGAATGCTGTAATAGAGCAGAGAAAGTTACTAGCCATGTAGGGAGATACTGGAGAACACATCTCGATCAAAGAACACTTGCTCTTTTCTAGGAGAAAATGCATCCTTATTTGGTAAGAAACAGTGCAGTGCAATCAGAGATCAT